ATTTTTCAAAATTTTCTGGTGGAAGCATGCGCCTTCAGTGCTTGAGGTCCCCTCAAGCAGTGGGAAGAACCCCCCCCATTAAAAATCCTGGCTACGGGCATGTGTATTGAGGGCAACTTGCATGTGTATTGTGCCCAGTCTATCTTGTCATGGTGTGTAGTTTGCCCTTTGTGTTACCCACAATTCCAGTGTCTCCCAGCATGCAATGGGATTCCTGAAAGGACTGTCTCTGGATGTCATCAATGTTGTTTGTCTCTGAGAAAAATGTCATTAATCATTAATTTAAAGTAAAAAATTTTCACTACATGTGGAAAGGCCGACATTTGCTCGGGAGCAAATACAGCGTATTTCAGTCCATCTCCCTCATAAAATGGACTGTTCCAAATGTAGAACATTCCAAAATAACTTCTACCCTAAAGATTGTTACTAGTATTTGCCAAGTCACCCAATGGAGCCTTCCCAATTCAACACCAATTGAAAAATTGATTGTTCCTGTAGTCAAGAATGGACTCTTCCATCTGCTTCACGTCCGAAAAAATTTCAGTAGAAGAAGGAGAAGAAACACGAGAAATAATATTTCAGCCATACCATGGAATACTGCAGACTGAAATGTAATGATTCTGGTTTGAGAAGATACAAAATGTCTGTCAAAAACAAGCATCTTGCAAATGTTTCTAAAATGAAGTTCTCTGTCTTTACAGCAGGGATATGGCGGAGGCTGGGGTGGAGGTTATGGTAACATGTACGGTAACTACCAGGGTGCCTACTGGCAGTATCCTCAACAACAGTACATGATGGGAGGAGGCGGCCAGCAGGGCTGGGCAGCTGGAAGCTATCCCCAGGTTTGTTTTTTTGTTTATTCATTTCTCTAACCAGGAGGTATATGTCGCCTGAGGGTACTTTTCAATGTTTCCTGGGGGGAAAAACCCAAACAAAAAGCCGTTAACATCAAAATCAACTCAGTCCAAATTACAACACAAGTAACAAATAAAGTTACGCATATTACAAATTGATACAAAATTAAAGTAACTTAAATAATGTACATGATACATGTACATGAAATCATACTACCAATATACGGTCAGGGAAAACTTGGGGCCCCTAGCAGGTTGTTAGGGTAGTGCAGCAGAACTTTCAGTTTAGAAATAATAAGTGACATACGTTTTGTTCCCCTAGCACCCTATTCTGGAACTGCAGGAAGGTTTCTTTAAAACTCTTTTCAGGGAGGGTAACTGGTTTTTGGTTGTCTTCCAGTAGCAATTTTCTAGGATTTGCAACTTGTTTTAAGTCTTATTTGTAATGTATAATGCTGATAAGTCTTAAGGTTTGAGTTAAGTATTTGTGTACAGAAACCGCAATTCAGCACTGGTGCTGCAAAGGTTTTTTCTATTGAATGAACAATTCTCTCTCTCTCTCTCTCTTGAATAAACCATTATCACACACACACACACACACAAACTTTTGATGCTTGGGAAGAAGTGACATAAGTTTTGTTCCCCTAGCACCTAATTCTGGAACTGCAGGAAGTTTTCTAAATAAAAATCTTTTCAGGGAGGGTAACTGGTTTTTGGTTCTTTTCCAGTAGTGATTTTCTAGGATTTGTGACTTGTGTTAAGTCTTATTTGTAATGTATAATGCTGATAGGTCTAAGATTTGAAGTATTTGTGTACAGAAACCGCAATTCAGCACTGGTGCTGCAAAGGTTTTTTTTTAATATTGAATGAACCATTCTCTCTCTCTCTGTCTCCCCCCCCTCTCTCTCTCTCTGTCTCCCTCTCTCTCTCTGTCTCCCTGTCTCTATCTCTCTCTCTGTCTCCCTCTCTCTGTCTCCCTCTCTCTATCTCTCTGTCTCCCTCTCTCTTTGTCTCCCTCTCTCTCTCTCAGTCTCTCTCTCTCTGTCTCCCTCTCTCTCTCACAAACTTTGGATGCTTGGGAATAAGGGACAAAAGTTTTGGTTCCCTAACACCTTATTCTGGAACTGCAGGAAGGTTTCTTTAAAAATCTTTAAACTGTTTTTTGGTTGTCTTCCACAGGGATGGAACCAGGGCTACAGCATGAGCGGCCAGATGGGGAACTGGATGGGGGGTGGGCAGCAGCAGGGCTTCGGAGGCAGTCAGATGGGACAGCAACAGCCAGGCAACGGGATGATGCCCAGCCAGGGTTACATGCAGCCCCAACAGTACCAGACTCAGTAGCACTCAAGTCAACAACATCTTATGTTAGCACGAACATTCATCCTTGTTGGCAGTTGACGTAGCACAGAGCTAAAACCTTTATCCAACAACAAAAAATGGCACGTCGAATTTCGACTGTCTCTCTGCAGTATTCCTCAGAATTCAAGTGTTTAACCATCTGGATCAAGTGACCATGTAGACATTCAATGTAGGCAGTTGGCCATAAATTTCCTGGCATTGTCTTATTATATGGTCGCGTAGTCTAGGCCATCGGTTACTTGACTTCTGAGGAAGGCCGCAGTCGAAAAGTCTGGAATTTGATTTTTGTTTTAGCTCTGTGCTATGTAACAACATCTTATACACACCTCAGCAGATCCAGACAAAAAACCCAAATGATTTATCCATCTTAGCTTGTTTAAATTAGTCCACCTTTAACTGAGACTGTTTAGGCCACTCCATTGAGTTTGTGTGTTTTTATCAGTAAAGAATAATGATAAAGCAGCAGGATTATGAACTTGAATAATATGGAAGATGTACAGATACATTATGATGACTATGTTGTACTTTTTCAACTCAACCTTTGGATGACTGATTGGTCCCTTTCTTGTAGATAATGTCTGTGTTTTCTAACTGGAAACTGCTCTGATCCTTTTTGACTGACTTACTTAAAGATAGGCCCATTTCGTTCTTGAGGACTCGACTTGATTAAGATTTTATAAGTAGTTATCCCGAGCACCTTTGTCATCGAGAAGTTTTGCTTTGGTAATGTGGAAGAGATGAGCTTGTGTTTAGGCTTTGCAGTAGTATTGGTATTAAGTATCAGTTATGGAGAGTTGCTACTGGACTGATGGTAAAGTGCATGTGTGCCACTGGATAACAATGATGATTTCATGTATGTAATTCACTCCTGTTGGACATGGAACCATTACTTCAGCCGTTACATGCACGGCAGAAATACTAGGTAGCCCCTGTAAGGGTTTGAATGTCCAAGTGTAAGATAACAAGTCCAAGTCGGTTCCACCCCCCTCCCCCCTATTGTCCATGGAAGAGAATACATTTGTTTTCAAACAGAGATTGTAAGCTGCCATGTTAGTTTGACCTGTTGAGTGGACATTGTAGAAACCAACCAGAGTTGAGGTAGCTCTTGTCCGAAACGTTTTTTTCACGACATACAAGAAAGGCTTGAGCGTGTACTTGTGTGCAGATTGGGCCTTGCATGGCCATTTCCTGCACCACGTGTGAACAGTTACTAAAACACTGCTGTACAAAATTTTTGGAACTCCACAATTTCTTGTACTAACCCTAGGAGGTCCTATCTGTGTGAGTTTCCTTTTTGCCTTTCAACGTTTTACTTTTTGTCGTGTCACAATCATGAACGTTGTGAAGTCACCTTTGATATAGACCTGGCACTTGATGTGAAAAAGCATCTCATGTACAGTAATTTAAAAACATGATCAAGCTACAAGTAAGATGATGAGACTGTAGTTTAAAAAAGTTAGATGACTGAGCTGTGTTTTCTCAGTGACTTGTTGAAAATAACCATAAAGAAGACAACAAAAATGTATATGATACTACAGAAGTTGTGGTGTCCTTGCGTGAGTCATAATGCTGAAAACTGTTGATGTGACAGAAAAACTTGCATGATGAGTCCATTTACTACATATTCTGTCATCAAGGACACATGAAATCTTAAATGTTGAGAGTGAAAACTCTTGGCTGCTGTTCTACTCTTTCTTAGATGCCAGATTGCAATAAGTTAGTAGGTTCTCCTTCATACAAACTTCAGACAGGAATACATGACCATTACTGCCAAATATCAGAACCTACGTTAATTTGCTCCCGTAATTCGTATTTCTTTTGAAGAGAAAAAAGTTGTTCTGCAGTCTATGATTCCAGTATGTACTCATGACAAGTTACCTTACGTCATACATCTTGCTTGTACAGGCTTTAAAGAAATGTACGCTCGCTAAAAAGAGGAGACATCCAGACAGGCCTTATAAAAATGTTTGGTACTTACGGAACATTTCGAAGCTGATTTTTATCCAAAGTTCCCCTTGAATGAAGAGAAAATTGTAGGCATCAAGTCTGACTGGAGAAGATATGTTGATGTGGTCAATGAGGCAAATGTAAAACTGTAGTGAGTAATTTATATACTGTTAAGACGTGATCCTATTTTAGTATCAATGAGTGAAGTAAGTAGTAGTCAACTTATAGTCAAGCTGTTAGTAGTTAGAGGTTAACAATGATAGTGATGGATGGATATGGGTGTACAAAGGTATTCCTTACTTTTATTATGATACACAATAATAAGATATAGAGGGGTAAGATGTAGCATGGAACTGTTCCTTATTTAGTTCTGTGGGTTGGTTGCTGTAGTTGCTTGATTAGAGGATAATCAGACCGTGTGTAAACCAAGTAACATGGGGAGCGGCTGGTTTTGTAGGTGGGAAAAAGAGGAAATAAAAAGAAATATGATTTCTACCCTGTGTGTTTCTATGTCTCAGTGTTTTAACATAGAATGTTAAGAAAATGTGTACAGTGTAATTCAGTCTGCCATCAGACCCACATACAAGAAATAACGACTGAGGATGTAGGGCTGTGCTGCACATACAGATAGTTACTTAGGCCACACCGACTTATTTTATGGATGACATCCTCTGAAGACCCCCAAACTAGTGCACGCGGGCGAATAAAGAAAAAATCCGGCCAAAAATAAAAATGCTACTAAACCACAGGAATACAAAGCTGGTATTGTGAATTAGCGGCATTACATGTAGCGACGTGTACGACATGTTGGCTTTTTGTGGAATTTATGAATCGTTATGTACTGGGTTCTTGAGTCGTGGAGCTTTGGTAGCCTGGGTGCAGTCCTTCAGAGATACCACAGGCTCTGTATTGTCGGTAACTACCATGGACTACCCAGGCCTAGAGCCAGGCCAGAGCCTCGAAGGACATGATCTTTTTTTTTTAGAACAGGCGAAAATCAATGCGCGCGTGGATGTCGTCCATAAAATTAAGTCGGTGTGGCCTTACTTGAACTCTACTGTGCCAGCATGGCTCTTATAAGGCAGAAGGTAGCTCTTCCATCTGGCCCGGGCCGCTGCCATCTTTGGTGCCTCGACAAGTCAGTAAAACCATGGCTCCACACTTCTTTTTCGTTATTTCTTTGCCATGTTTCCTTCAGTCTCCCTCTCAGTCTCCTGCCCTAAAGGTGTCCACCTTAGAGTTGTTCTGGCTATGCCTTCTAATAAATAATGACTTGTAGCATATGTGACCTAACCATATCCATCATCTGTTTATCAGCATTCTGTCTATTGTCATGAGTCCTGTTCACAGATGGAGATTTTATTGGATATCGTGTTTGGCTAGAAGATTTTTAATGTTAACCTTTACAGTACATTCATGCTTTATTGGGCTAAGTACAGGTGAACAGATGAAAAGGTTATATATTTTCCGCAGACATTTTTTTGGAAGACATTGAGGCAGATACAGATAAGACCACACCAATTTGACTTGCTGGTTCCCAGAATTTTTCAGAAAAAAAAAAAACACACACATAGGCATCCTCTGATTGTCATATTATACATGTATGACATAAATGTAGTTGGGGTTACTGTACTTTTGCAAAATTACATAACCCATGGGGGTGGTCCCTTGACATTTCTTGGCAGATGTTGGCATTTCTCAGACTTTATGATATTTGTGACATTTGACAGTGTGCAGCTCATTTTTATCACAACATTTGCCTTTGACTTTTGTCCCATTATTATTATCCATCCTCCATGTACGTCCATTATATAGAGTTGCCTTTCTCAGAATGGTATGTTTTCCGTAGCATTTTTGTCTTGGTGGAGCTGGGGTTGATGAATTTGCACATTTTTAAGTAGGTTAATGATTAACATATATTAAATTAATGATTATTACATATATAGATATATTCGCGCACATGTAATCAACATCTAATTAACAGAAGTGAATAGGGTTATTCATAATTGTATTTAATGATGTTTAAGGACACAGTCAGGGTTTGTTTGTCCCTAGAACTGTGTAACTAGGTTAAATGATCTGTGCATTCTTATAGTTATACAGCATTGTTACACGAATGTGACAGAGTAGTGACAGATTGCTTTACACTATTATTTTAAAGGGGCTTGGACGGAGGGGAGGCCCCGGAATAGATGTAAGAAGTTACTGGACAAGAACACACCACCATCACACAATAACTTACACAATAACATCATAAAAGTTAAAAATACACTTTAAACATTCTTTACATGATGAAGACATGTTCCTCGAACTCGTGTTTTTTTGTATGTGAAGCTGTGCTCGAGCTCCCTTCGCTGAGTAGTGCCTTGGCTGAGTACATGAAACAAACAGGAACAGCCCCATCGCTTCCCTGACCACAGCCCCAGTTCGCTCAGCACAGCTCTTTTGCTGAGCACAGTCGCTCACAGTGTAACATAGCCACTTCGCTGTTGAACATGTCCCTTTCGATGAACACAACATTTGTACCTAAAGTCCTTCGTACCTATTACACATGCATTAGGCCACACCAATTTAATTTGTTGTTTCTCAGATTTTTTTCAGAAAAAACATGAAGCAACAGGCCAGGGCACCCCATGATAGCCGGAAATGTTACAATACAAGCCAATAAGTGAACATACCAGGCTGGTTTATGATTTAAACAATAGATTTTGAACTTTTAATGAAACAAAATTGCATTATGAAATAACCACTGGAAAGAAAAGAACTTTCTTCAACTGTTTGGGCCAAAATATGACTCTTTCATTGAGCATTTTGCAGTTGATTTAGAACCCCCCCCCTCCATTTTTTTTTTTTGCAAATCAGAAGAAAAATGGACAGGGCGAATCCCAGAAACAACAAATTAAATTGGTGTGGCCTTTAGAGTTAAAAAAGGATTGATACATG